TTGATTTTGTTCAAATGTCTCATCAATTTCCACTCATGTATATAAATGAAGCACGAAAGTTGTATGAGTGACTTGATATGATTATGAGCAGTAATAATTTGTGCTCGAAACATGGTCATCAATAATATTACTGTATAACACTGTATGAGTTATCGAAATAAAATCTTATCCATAATGGAGTTATACTCTACCACCACAGTGCCCAAGTTTTATACTTATATCAGTATTTACGCTTTCTTCCGTATATTCATTGGGCAATAGGTTCTCTAGTTGATTCACTGTCTGAAAGACTTCCTCATGGCTTGTTGTTTTGAGTAAAGAAAGCTACTGATGAAATTATGAAGTAGCCTGTTGGAAGTGCTTCTGATGATGTGTCAGGTCTCTGAACCCCATACAGCACCAGGGACTAAACATAAAGAGTGAAGCATTCATTAACATCTTGTTGTTTGTGTTAAGTGTTGTATATCTCTATAGAGTAAATGTCTGTCTTACATTCCTAATCTGAGTCAAGTTGTCTTTGAAATAATCATCTGTGCTTCTTATAGTTGAATTGATGCTATCCTGATTGTGAGTGAAAGAGGTTCCTACTGATGGTCGGAAATCTTCATCACCTATATCTTGTCTATGTTCATCTGAAGTCTGCATATGGAATAAATGATTTCAATGTGATCAGTTAGCTCGATTAACATTTCCAGGGTGTAGATGCCATAGGTTCAGTAATACAACGAAGAAGAAATAAGACTTCTAGAGTCTTCGTTTTATTTCACTGGACCAGTATTGTATAGACTCTCTTGACCGCTTCACTTATTTGGGAAGTACCATCAGCCCCAACGGGCTGATCTCTGACGAAATCTCAGCTGAGTACGGATACAGGGGGCTCGTTTCGCATTTGCCAGTTTACGCCGACTCTGGCGTAGACGAGATGTTCGACTATCGACCAAAGGGCGGGTGTACTGCTCATCAGTCCGCTCCGTCCTCCGTTATGTCTGTCAGTGAGACCTGGCCACTGAGAGTGGAAGACATGAAAAGACTAGCTGTCTTTGATCATAGGTGCCTGCGTTCTATTTCCCGTGTAAAGTGGCATAATAAGGTGAGCAATATCGAAGTTAGGCGTCGAGTTCTAGGTAAACAGGGGAAATCAATCGACGAAGTCGTGAAGTTACAAAGACTGAGATGGTTAGGACATGTGTTACGTATGCCAAGCCATCGCCTCCCTCGACGAGCAATGTTAGCGGATATAGGGTCAGGCTGGAAAAAAGCTAGCGGCGGTCAAACAAAAACTTGGCCGAACCAGTCAATGAAATCCACAACAGTTGGTCTAAGCCACGTAGGAAGGTGTAGACTTCCAGCCTGGGGTCCTTGGGACGGTAAAAATCTATGGTTGAAAACAATTGGTGACATGGCTCAAAACCGTTCTCAGTGGCGCAGATGCATCCACTCCTTGTGACTTATGATCTTCAATGAAACTGTTTTGTATTTCTTTATTACTCCTTTGTCTCACACCTCTGCTCACTGTTTCTATTATGCTTTTCTTGTACTTTCTTCTATTGCTTCGCGTGCTGCACGGAGTGTGGCGACTTGAACTGTCGCACATTTGTGCAAAGTTCTATGTCGAAAACAGACAGACAGAGAGACTCTAACACCCACTTACCACTCCCTGAAATAATAATAATATACTGTAGAAATCTTATACAGCCAAGAAAAGTTTATTCAATCATTCGTAAAATAAACTCCTTACTTTTGATGACAACTTAGCTAATGAGATTTTGTTTCGGAGACTTTTCAGGAGAATATGAAGAACTTTTTACTTAGTGAACCCATGTTTGTCATTTCCTAGCCAACAAATGATTTGTACTCAAACGAAGGATAAGCTTGATAATTTTACCACATCTCTGTGTACTTATCAGTCTAACTGCTCTTGTTCTGATGTTTATGTTGGACGGGCTACTAGGCAGCTTAGCCAACATGTCACTACTGAACAATCTTCCATCGTTCATTGGTAAAAGACAGGTGAAAATCATCCAAAGCTTCGTTTTGTCACATTTAGTTGACAGTGGTCATTAAGTTGGGAAAAGGAAGGGGAAGGAATTCAAGGTAATTTATCGCTTCCCACTGAATCTTCCCAATCGATTCCATATAGCTTAAACGATAGGCATTCGAACTATTAAGCTTAAATAATGCGTTCTAAAGAAGTTCGTACGAGCATTATCCCTCCCTTGGCTTATTAGGACCTGATCAACTGATAATGTCACCACCACCACTAGCCCTTAATTATATTTTCAAGCCCTTTCTTATCATTCTTTAATCTTATTACATCTTCATTAAAATATAGTTTATATTTACTTCCCTTACACTCTAGCATTTACTTAGTGGGACTATTTGTTCTTCTTAGTCTTTATCGACTACTTCTACTTGAAAATTTGCTTGTTTAATCGTCCTATATTTTTCATTATTCTTGCTTTCACAGTTCGCTGCAATTATTTACACCTTTGCTATTTATAGAGTTATTATTATTATTAATGTTATTGTGACAAATTGCACAATTCGTATACACTGTCTTATCATCCTGTTTACAAATAACCATGATTGCTGTATACATTTAATATTCATTCTTAAAGTTAAGCTTGATGATATCTAATTGAAACCAGTATTGCATGGAGGATTTAATCATGAGCTGACATCAGTTAGAGAACCACTGGAAAACCAGTTGGGAGTACTGGACAGCTGTTTCGTCCTAGTTTGGAACTCTTCAGCAGTACACACCCACCAACAGGGCTCGAACCCAGGACCTTCTGGTTACAAGGCGAGCTCGTAGACCATTGAGCCACTGGGACCCAATCCAAATGTGAGGCAGTAACTCATCGAAGAAGACATTACGAAGTGGTCGTGCTATGTCGTGAAGTGGCAGAAGTTAGAATTCAAGGACTATTGGATCGGATCCCAGTGGCTCAATGGTCTACGAGCTAGCTCGCCTTGTGCGTCGGTGGCATAGTGGTTAGGACTCTCGCCGACCATGATGCACATGGTCCGGGGTTCGAGCCCACGCCGGCGCACACCTGATATCTATGGTCGGCCTGCATAATTTGGGCTACTGATATCCATGCTGAAAATTCCATACTTGTACCAAAAATACAGTGTGGAATCAAGCTGTAAATCAAAAAAAAAGTAACCAGACAGTCCTGGGTTCGAATCCCGGTGGGTACGTACTGCTGAAGAGTCCCAAACTAGGACGAAACAGCTGTCCAGTACTCCTAGGTTTTCCAGTGGTTCTCTAACTGATGTCAGCTCATGATTAAATCCTCCATGCAATCAAACAAAATCCCTATAAAACCAATACTTGGAACCAGTATTGTTCGCTGCCTGTTTTCACCGACGATATTCCTAATTGTGGTGGACTGGATTATGCAGAAGACTATGAGTGGGGGGAGTGAAAAGAAATGAATACGTTGGACCACAGATATGAAGATTCTACAAGATTTAGATTTCGCCTGTGGATGATTTATGTCTAATGTCACATAAACTGCAAGACTTGCAAGCGAAAACCAACAAACGCACAGAAGAAACAGGAAGCAGAGAAGACATGAATCCAGGTGAACATGGAGAAGGTGATGAAGATAGCCAACCACCACTAACATCATCATCAACAATAGCAACCAACAGTGGTGATTACCACCAACGAGAGAGATTTGAAAGAAGTTCCTTCCTTCACTTATCCAACTATGAAGCACGCTTTCAACCACAGATAGTCAACACGGATAAAGACGTCAACCAGCCAGCCAGCCAGTCAGACACAATCGGAAGGGCGAGATATACATGCCTTCATCAATCTGAAATCAGTTTTAAAATCGTCTACACTGCACTCAGCCAGCATAAACAACAAGATTCGGATCTGCAGCACAAATTCAAAGTCACTCAGTCAGCCAGTCATTTCTTCTATACACACGTCAAAAACTTCCACTGCGCACAAGTCACAAAAGGGATCTACAACAGGCCATTGCAGACTTTTATCAACAGCTTCCACCTTCGCTGGTTGGTTTCATACTGAAGATCGAATGGTCAGTCAGCCTACCGGCCAGAAAGAATTCGCAACAAGAAACTCTGGCTGGCAACGAACCAACAATCGAGAGCTGATGGCCCAACAAATATGTAGGATTGATTGGAGGATTTCATTATGAGCTGACATCCACTAGAGAACCTTCTGAAAACCAGCTGGGAGTATTGCACGACTGTTTCGCCCCAGTTCTGTACTCCTTATCAGTACGCACCCACCACAGGGGTTAGAACCCAAAACCTTCTGGTTACAAAGTCAACGAGGTCTTAGACCATTAAGCCAGTGGAACCCGATTCAATGGCGAATTTACGACATATCGCCACTACTTCGTCGGTGGTATAGCGGTTAGGACGCTCGCCGACCATGCACATGGTCCGGAGTTCGATCTCCGGCTGACGCACTCCTTTACCTCGCTAAGCCAGAAGTAATGATGATAAAGAGGAAAGGTTGGGCATGAGGCTAGCAACCCCATCCTGTAAAATAAACACTGCTAGAGAAACTTCAAGCCACTAGCTTGAAGCCCTATGTTCCACTGGGAACGTGAAGGAAAACAATCCAATCCAATCGCAATATCTTCTTCAATGAGTTACTGACTCACCCTCAACCCGGTTTCGAACATCCCTGTAGATGCGTATTGATGAAGAGTTCCGAACCAGACCGATGAAACAGCTGTCCAGTACTCCAAGCTGATTCTCTAACTGATACCAGTTCATGATGAAATCCTCCAACCATTCAATCCTTCCCTGCGAGGAAGAGTGACATCGAGGAGATAGTAGGGATTGGAGGAGATGAGAGTTTTTGAGCAATCGTGAAGCCAGTTGAAGAGAACAACAGAAAATGGAACAAAGTGTAGATGTGTCGTTGAAGCCCTATGTTCTGCTCAGAACTCAGGAAATAATAATAAGGGTAATAATGATGATAATAATAATAAACATTCCAGCTAACTTACACAACTTTACCATCTTCAATCAATATGTCAGCATATTGTATATGATCACTATTCACCAACTGTCCACCCATAATATAAACTTGTTCTTTCTACAATAAAATGAAATGAAGGCATTTACAAATTGTCATAAATTATTTCACATAGTGAACACAATTGAACATATAAACGTAACTATGTCACAGATATCCAAAATATAAAGCAAGTTTACGTTACAAGCACCTTCTCATTGAAAAAAAACTTCATGCTTTGATAATTTTCGACTGATTTTTTGATGTGAAGACAGTAGTGCATAAATCAAATTTAGAAAATTTTTCAGAAATTACTACGCAGTTAGCAATTCACATACACACACACACACACACGCAAACAGTTCGAGTTAATGAAATTTCATCATATCTACCGTCGGGAACCAAGTTGTTGAGATAGCACAGCATGTGATCAGCTTAATACCAGAAACTGCAATCAAATGCTCGCTAGTGACTTGCTGCTACAGGATGAAGTTTCCTGGAGTTCTAGTGAGAAGTCGTGACCTCAGTGAGGTCCATCCAGATGTCACGTGTGAGGATGGATGTCCTACCGATGACATTGGTAGGTGTGAGTCACGCTAAATCACGAATTGGTAGAAGTTAGAATTCATTTGTTGGCCATTGAATCGGGTGACATCCAATTGCTGAATGGTATACGAGCCAGCTTTCCTTGTAACCAGGACGTCCTGGGGTCAAACCCTTGTGGTGGGTGCGTACTGCCAATGATTCCCAAACTAAGGGGGGTGAAACAGCTGTTCAGTACTCCATGTGGCTGGTTTTCAATGGTTCTCTAACTGATATCAATCCATGATCAACTCGTAAAAACAAAACTAACCCTCACAAACCAAACTATAGAAAATGGCAATTAATGAAATCAAAATCCAACTACTCATATCAATCAGTTAGTAATATATGGCGTCAGTGGTGAATAAATCTCCTATTTTGAAATTATTCTGTTAATTACGTATTGATTTTACTGAATTGATTGATTAGGGAGACTTAAAAACATGGACTGGATAATAGGTAGTAATTAATGTCATGCATCTAGTCCTTGGTTTGGTGTAGGCTGCAATGTGAACACTATACTAGGTGGTTCAATATCACAGTGCACTATGTGTTGTCATTGTTAGGTGGTTGGAGGTCATCAGTCGAAAGCCCTGGAAACCTGGGTTCTACACCTGTTGGCAGCAGTCAGCAAGGCGTATCTGCAATCTTGAATGAACTAATATTCCCTCTGAGATTCGAACCCGTGTCACCCAGTGAGTGTTGCAGTCATAAACGTTGCCACTGAGATATTTGGGCTCGTGGTTGGCCTCCCGTAGGACTGACTACATCGGATATTTTTGACTGGACAGGAGTCAGTAACTAGTGTTATGTGTGTGTCTAGTCCTCTTTTTGGCGCAGACGGAATCCTACCAGTCAAGTTTGCAATGTGGCCAATATCATAGGTTGCTCGCCATCACGATGCACTGTGAATTGTTGGTGCTAGATAGTCCGAGGCCATCGATAGAAAGCCTTGGATGTGGGTTTCATGCTAATTGACAGCTAGTTGTTGTTATTGTTTCCTTTAGTTCCTAGAGTAACACAGGGTTAATATTCTCATGCTACCCATTGTTTCTCAATAACTCTAAAGATAAACTATAGCATTTGACTAATTCTGTGTGTATCTACTAATTTACGTGCTCATGTAGAACGAGACATGTAGGTGGTTCGATGCGTGCTTCACTTAAAAGATTCAAAGGAAATTAACCAGCTTGGCCACGAAAAGGTAACAGTGGATCAATAAAGAGTGCTATAATTGAACATACTGTCAACACTGGTCACTCACCCAATATTTAAGGTGAATTCATTGAAAGTCATCTACAAAGTCAAAAGAAGTTTCTCGAGAACGTTAAGCTTCTGCATACTTTGCATTGCTGAGGCGGCTTCAACAATTCGGATGGATAACCCTGATTTATGTTTAGAGAAGAGACTACTTCATCCGTTCCTTCTACTTTGGGTATAATTCCATGTTTGACTACTCTGTTACTAATAGTATTTGTGAATTTTGGTTTGACATTTTTCTCTTAACCAGCGCTTTATATTTACTCTTTCTACCTATTACATAATTCACTGTTTCATTAACATTGTATTTTTCTGGTTGTCGTTCATATTACACAATCCGAGACAATAGTAACTAACCTCCACCCCTCCCCCTAAGTCACAATTGGATTATTATTTTGATGACGTAAACAATAACCCCAACTATTTTTTATTCTTATCTGACGAACATAGTGTGCAAATACACATATATACAGATAAATAATTATATATAATAACGACTGTACAGCTAAGTGAGCATCGGTGGCAGGTACAGCGGTAGAGTGTTCGCCGACCAAGCCTCATATGGTCCAGGGTTCGATCTCCTGCTGCAGACGCACTCCTTCACCTCGCTAAACCAGTAATAAGACTGGTAGGCAAAGTTAAACTTTAAGCACCACTTACTACCACCAATCAGTGAATGACGTTGAACGCACCAATCACATGAAGGAGGCATTTTTGTGCATGGAATACATATGTATTTATGAAAAAAATGCATAAAACTGTACAAAAGTGTTGCAGAGGACACCTTCCTCTCACATGTGATAAAAATAACCCTCAGTTTTAGGTTGGGGTATCAACAGAGTGTAATGCCATTGTGGGTAAAATTTATTCTGATGCAGTCTCATAGTGTTATACAGTAATATTTACTGAGCAATAAATTGTGCTCAAAACGTCGTCATCAGTAAATATTACTGTATAATAAACACTGTGAGACTTTATCGAAATAAATTTTACCCACAATAGTATTATACTTTATCACAGTGTACAAGTTCTATTCTTATATCAACAGAGTAATTTAACCGCATTCTATACAAGTAATTATTTAGGTCATCTAACCCTGCCCTAACAATAACCCTGATCTTTCAGGAACCTAAATCTAACGTGGAAAGATCCCTAAACTAACTGTAATCTAACTTTGACCAACACTGATGTCGCCTTTATTAGGCCAACCTAACTCTTTTACTTGTCCTAAGCTTAAACTGTAGCTCAATCTTTCCCTAAACTTAAGCTGAAACTTTCCAGATATCCCATTTGATAGCATAACACTTCGATAAGAATACTTTACTGATGTTGACAAAATTATTTTCTAGGCCTCATTAACTTGCTTGGTGAGGTTTTTAAGGTCCTGGGTCACTAACTGGTTGCATTCCTACTTCTCTAACAGAATGCAGTACACCGTATACAAAGGCAAATCCTCCTCTGCTGTGCTCACTGAAGCTGGTGTCCCCCAAGGTGCTGTACTCTCCCCACTTCTCTTTTCATTCTTCCTACATGACCTACCATCTTCAGATGGCATTAACTTTTTCAAATATGCTGATGACCTAACTGTATCTTTACCTGTCAAATGTCAAAGTGACTGCTCTAAACTAAATGGCTTCTTATCATAAATTAGCAAATGGTCCAAGGAAAACGGTCTCACCTTAAACCCCTCCAAATGCCAAACAGTTAATTTCACCTTTAGGCATAAATCTGACCTAAACAAACTGGTTAGCACTCACGAGGTGTGCAACATAGATGGCAGTGAAATAGAAACCAAGTCGGAAATTAAATACCTAGGCGTCACTCTATCTTCTGATCTTTCCTGGTCGTCTCATATCTTGACGATTTCCAAGAAAATATACCGTCTTACCTTCTACATCAAGAAGTTAAGACATTCTGGTGTAACCCAACCCTTACTCCTACAATTTGTTAACTCCCGTATTCTGCCTATTATTCTCTATTGCTCCCCCTTAGTCTTTCCTGGGCTATTGAAGAAAGACTATACCTTATTACGTAGGATGTTAAAGGTTGTCAGCAGGGTAAACAATGTGCCACTTAACCAGCTTGTTAATATTCTAGTCGAAAGGCACATGGACTCATGTGAAAAATGAGCGAAATCCATTTTATCTGACTCACAACACCCTCTTCATTCACAACTTTCCCCATGTATCTCTTCAGGGAAAACCAGAAGCCTATATAGGAAACTATTTGCCCGCACTAGTAAGTACAAAAACTCATCCATACCCTACCTAGCTCGTGTTCTCTGCAATAAAGAAAGCATTAGGCGTGAAACCTTTAACTTATTAAATTGTCAGTAGAACAAATGGATCTCGTCTTTCCAACTCACATCATTTACAGGTACAACGTTTTCTCTCTACCATTTTTTTCTCTTTCTGTATTTATTTTTGTTATGTGCTGTTTTGTTTCTCTCTTCCCTACAAACTCTACTTAAAACATTCTTGTTCGTTCTCTCACACTCTGTATATCTCGGCCATTTTGCTATCGCTTACGCCAGTAAATTTGCTAGTAGTATCAACTTTTCTAACACCTTCTAACACTGTTTAAATTTTGGCTTTGCTACTGACATGCTAATATGTTGTTGTCAAAACTGACTGAGATAACTTTAATCTATGTAGAACTTTATTTATTGTTAACGTACTAACTGGATGCAATATTGTAGTAAACAAAAATGCTGAGAATTCCATTCTGTATCACAAGTACTGATTTGGAATAAAGCTTATCTTATCTTATCAAACTCTGTTGGTTGTTGTTGGTGGTGGTGCTTAGAGTTTAACTTGTCCTACTGGTAGAGATGGAAGGTTGGGCTGGGCATGAGGCAGACTAGCAACCCCATGCTGTAAAAAAAAATAATCACCACTCCTAGTGAAACTTCAGGCCTCTATCTTGAAGCCCTATGTTTCACTGGGGACGTAAAGGAATAAAAAACAAAGGAAAAAAAAACAGCTAAATGAATGAATTAGCCGCCGGAACTGTTTGAACTGTTTTATTCTCATATCAATGAAATCTAACCGACTAAATGTCACTGATCAGATGCATTTTTATTTTCCTTCGAGTTATTGGTAGAAACATTTCTAGAAGGTTAGAAGAGAATGAGATTTATTCACATTTATTTTGTTTATTAAGTGAACTAACTTTAGGATAAGTATTCTTGTATTAGGTTATTTCATTAACTATCTATACCACTTTATGCATCCCTATGA